AGGCTCCCATGCATGTGAAACTTAAACACATATTGCGTTTGGTAAACCTTTGGGAGGTCTCGGTGAGGAGAGGAATCCATCATTCCATGGCAGCCTCCCATCTAGCCAAATTGTCCCTGTTCTCGTCTTCATGGCTATTTGAGAAATTTCAGGAGCGTTGACTTGCCGCGCTCCTTAAGATGCCCCCGGCTCTGCTTCTGGGACGACAGACTCTCCTGGTGCCCTATGTAACGGCTATCTCTACCATCACCTTGACTGACTGTGGATTCACGCAGGGAGCACACCTCTGGGCACAGGCATGTATGTGAGAGCATTTCCAGAGAGGTTTAGCTGAATAGGGTGGTAACATTTCATGGACAGGAGCTCCAGAGAGAGAAAGAGAGAGAGAGAGAGAGAGAGGCAGAGACAGAGAGGCAGAGACAGAGACAGAGAGACAGAGACAGAGAGAGGCAGAGACAGACAGACAGACAGACAGACAGAGAGAGAGAGAGAGAGAGAGAGAGAGAGAGAGAGAGAGAGAGAGAGAGAGAGCACTGAGCCTTGTTTCCCGACTGCAGACACAATGCTACCAGCCGTCTCCTCTGGACCATGCTTTCCCTGCCGTAATGGCCCATCCCTCAAAACATGAGCCCAAATGAACCCCTTCCTTCCGTCAGCTGTTTTTGTTGGGCACTTTGCTACAGCAACGAGACAAATAACGAATGTGCCCTCCTACCCCTGTTGTTGGAGTCTTCTTTCCCTTGTCCTAACCAGGTGGTTCCCTTCCTCCTTTCTCTCTGTCTTTCAAAAAAAAAAGCCACGTGAATAGTACACAAATAATTTGCCAAGTAAGTTGTGGTCCTGGGAGGGAGCATGTGTCGTCTTCACATCTGTCCAGCCCTGCTCTCAAGGGCACTGCAGACTACCAGACAGTGAAGGACAGCCAAGAGTCCCCCCAGCATCCTTCCTCTCCTGTTCTGGCTTTCACTCCCCTCCCTGCGGCTCTGTGCAGACCCCCGAGCATCCCAGCCGCAGGCTGAGGGGCGGATGTCCACGTGCGTGCGCTTACGAAGGATTCTGCTCCGGGCTCTTTCCCGCTCCTCTGTGTGATAGCTAGAAGACAGTAAGGACTATGAGCTGGGAGCTGTGGACTGAGGAAGATGAAGAGGCCATGATGCCGGTGACTTGAAGTCACCATCCTGACCTTGGCTGCCGCACAGAATAGAGGTGGGCAGACTTGCACAGACATCACCACTCGGGCTTTGCCTTCATCAGGATTTATGTGACTCAGCCTATGCACGCTTAGGTTATTTCACCATGTACAGCTCTGAGTTTGCTTTTCTTGCTGAAGCTCTTCCCCCTCCCTGGCCTCCTGAATTCATTCTGACACCTGTTGATTCAGCTCTAACACCTCAGCTTCTCCCCACACCCCTATCTGAACCCCCCTCATTTCTAACTGGTGTCAACTGTCATTACATCTACTGTTTCCCTTAAGTAGCCAACTCGGAAGCCCTGGAGCGCTTTCCTGTTACACAGAACGAACTCCAAGTCCCCCTGTGTCTGTGTCTCAGACTCCGCTGGAGCCTGGCTGTCACTCATCCTCTCTCCTGGTGCCTTCCCAGCATCTCCCGTTGTTTGCGGATTCTGCGCTAAGCAGTGTGGAACAGGACATGTATTCCCACTGGCTCCTGCAGATGTTACAGAATAAAATGGTCCCTTCCTAAAGAGACTTCCCTGCTGCCTCTGAAAGCTTTCCCTTTTTTGTTTTTTGCCTGCATGTTGTGCTATGTGCATGCCTGGTGTCTTCAAAGCCACAAGAGGGCATGGGATTCCCTGAGAGTGAAGTTACCTATCATTGTGAGCTGCCATCTAGGTGCTAGGAGTCAAATCTGGGTCCTCTGTAAAAGCATCGGGTGCTCTGACCACTGAGCCATCTCCGCGGCCCCTTTTTCCTTTGCTAACTTAACTAATCCTTCCATTTGCCTCAAAGCCTTGTGACTCCCAGGCCTAAGGTCTGGATTCCAGTGTGCCTGTTCCTTATTTTCATTTATTTACACGCTGGGCATATATAGCAAATACCTACTGTGTATGAGGGGGGCATCAACGACACCAGATGGAGACGGGCGACGCTGGCTTGGTCCCCTAGTGATACTCAAGTCTTAAGAGATACTGAAGCAACACAAAACCAGCCACCTGTATTTCTCAATATGTCGGGCTCTGTACATGCAGGAGGAGCACACCCTTCAGAAGACCTCTGGGGTATTTCCTTTTTTTCTTTCCTGAACTTTCTTGGCACTTATCATTAATACTTAGATCATCATATGATTTGTTAATATTTTAAAAATACTCTGTCTTCTGTAATGCTGCTTGCTGGGAGAAAGACCCTGACTAATACATTGCTGAATTAAACTTTTTTTTTGCATTTAGTGTGCATGCGTGTGTGTGTGTGTGTGCACGCGCGTGTGCGTGCACGTGTGTGTGTATACACCGTAGTATGCGTGTGCGAATAGGTAGGACAACTTGCAGGAATCGGTTCTCTCTTCTACTGAAACACCCTGACTAATACATTGCTGAATTAAACTTTTTTTTGCATTTAATGTGTGTGTGCACATGCTTGTGTGCCTGCGTGCGTGCGTGTGTGCGTGTGTGCGTGCGTGCATGTGTGTGTGTGTATACACCGTAGTATGCGCGTGTGAATAGGTAGGACAACTTGCAGGAATCGGTTCTCTCTTCTACTGAGTGGCTTCCAGAGATGGACCTAAAGTTGTCTGACTGAGCATTACCTGTTGATCTCTCTAGCTTGATTTTGCAGAACCTTCATTCTTCAACATCAGAGTAGTTCTTCCAAGCTGCTTCATTTAAAAAAAATGTTTGACACAGACTCTCATTCAGCCCGGGTTAGCCTCCAACTTGCTATGTAGCCAGCATTGTCCTTGAACTCTGAGCCTCCGGCCTCCACCTTCAGAATAACGGTGTCACAGACATATGCCACCATGCCCAGCTTCCAAAATGATGCTGAAATCTAAAAATTGCTATGGCAAAAACTGTATAATAGCTGTCGTTTTAACAATTTTTATTTTATTTTTTTAAAGAGTCTCAATATCTAGCCCTGGTTGGCCTTGAACTCACTACACAGTTCAAGTCAATCTCAAACTCTGGTCATCTGCCTCATTACAGATGTACACTTACGTTCCGGGCCTCGTGATTACCATACCTTCCTCTCTCTCTCTCTCTCTCTCTCTCTCTCTCTCTCTCTCTCTCTCTCTCTCTCTCTCTCTCTCTCTCTCTCTGTGTGTGGTGTATATGTATGTACACAGGTATGGAGGGCTGATGTCTGTTGTTTATCTTTCATCTCCACTTTTAGCTTTTGAGACAGGCTTTCTCACCAAACCTTGGATTTGTTAGGCTGGCTGATCAACGAGCTCATGGATTTGCTAGGCTGGCTGATCAACGAGCTCTGGGGTCTGACTGCCTCCATCACCCCAAGGCTGGGGCTTGCACCCCTATGCCTGGCCTTTTATGCGGGTCCTGGGGATCCAAACTGAGTGTCTGAGGCTTCCATGTCGTCTCTGCAGTCCTGTGTCAACTATTTCTAGCTACACAATCAAGTAGTGTCAGTTATGCTCATGTTACCGTGCATGCGGCAGACAGATCTTTAAAACTTTTTGGTTTTGTGAAACTGGAACTCAACGGGCTGGTTTGAAGGGCACCCCCTTTGTTCCCCCCCCCAAGTCTCTGAAGACCACATTCCTAGTCTCAGTAGATTTCACAAGCTGACTTCTTGGGATACCCCCTGCAATGCAGTCTCAGCACTTTGTACATGGCTGTGGTTTAGCAGAATGCCCTCGGGTTCATCCACATTGAAGCAGGTGACAGGACACCCTTCCTATTAAAGGGTGAGTAATGCTCCATTGCTCTGTGACCCATGCTGTTTACCAGTGCCTGCACTAATGGGCACTTGGGCACACCCCCTGGCTGAGGTGCAGGGCTGTAGCGAGCACTGGGTGTTCCAGAGTGAACTCCAGCAACCAACACCAAACCATTCTCATAGCTGGCCTGTTAGAACTGTCAGCCAGACCTGACATGGAAGGAGTCAGCCATTTCTGGCCAGGCTCTCACCTCTGAAGGGGTGGGCCACAGCAGAGAAACCCCTTTCTCAAAGGAACTTGTATAGAACACAGAGGAGAGTTAGGAGGCTTCTTGAATTGGAATCATTATTAAAATAAGCACATGTCTTCTCTCTGAGTTCTCAGGGCTAATACCAACCTGGTTACAAGCTTGGGAGCTTGTACCCCAGAAGTCAGCAAGGAGGTTTGTGTTACTGAAGAAGAGGGAGAATGGGCTCACGTTTCAGCCATACATGCAAACCACCTCCCTGGAGCTCTGCAACTCCTCTGACTATTGGGATCTGAGCTAGGCGTTCATAAAGAGCCAGGTCTGAGGTGCATGGAACAGAGACTGGTCTCTCACAGGACACAAAATCCCCCTTCCAGATTCTGACTTCACAAGCTGACTGCTTTCTCTTAGGGGATGGCTAAGAAGTGCCAGAGGGGGTTATCAGGCTGCCCCTTTCACTTGTAGACCCTGGGGCCTGGAACCTGTAGCTGGGCTCCCAGGCTGTGACTATGACCCACATTCCCGATAGGATGGAGCCTCATGAGAAAGGTCGGGACTAGTTCTCCAGCCTTCTGGTGGCTAGAAAAGATTTCCAAACCGGAGCCAACAGACTATAGTGCACTCACTGCTGGTCGTCCTGTCACCCAGTCTGTGAGAATCGTTGGACAGTTGCAAGCCCAACTTCTTGGTGCCCTCTTACTGGGGTTGTTACTTAGCAGTTAGCATACATGGTTGTTCTAACAGCTTCTTACCTTACTTTCAGCTCTCACATTCTGTGAATTGATGGTGCCCTTCAGCCATCAAATCCATTCTACTTTTTATTTGGCATTTGTTCATTTCATACATATATACATATATAAAAAGTCTGTACATGGTAAAGAATACAAAATAACCATTTCCTTATAAGTTATGAAGTTACACGGCTGTCTTTTAAACTTTAAAGACCATTGTGGAGGAAAATAATAGATGCAGCCAGCCCCTCATTGTGGCCATTCACAATAACGTCAGTATAAAATATCCATACAAAATATATATACACAGTAGAGCACGGCTCCTAAAAGCTGGGCAGACAGCAACGCTGTGTGGGAGAAACTGTCAAAGAGGCAGACAAGTCCACACCCAGGGACAAAAGGACACCCAGAGTTCTGGGCACAGGTGTTCTGCAGGTAGGGAAAGCTGAATGTTTCAGGACAGAATAGAAATAGACACACACTCTCCTCTACATAGAGAAACCACTTCCTCTCCGAGGGGCGTCAGGAAATGAGAAGCTGTCTCCTCTTAGGTGGGAAGGCACAGCTGTGCCTTCATTCTCTATTGGAATTTCTTGTGCTCTCTACTCTTATGATGAGAAGACAGAATGACTGACCGCTGGAAGGTGACCGAGAAGTTAGGGGCCAAAGGCTTGGTGTTTGACAGGACTTTGCTCACAGTAAGCCCAGGCGGTGAGACTAGAGACACCCTTCTACACAAACACCCCTCACACCATGTCTAAAATAGTTTGCAATAAATAGATGGACCGTGGCCCTTGCGGGAAAGTTAAGACTGTTTGGAGGTGGCAGCATGGAGTAAGGAAACGTCTCTTTGGGACAACAGAGGGAACTGTGGCACCCCTGAGAAGGTGGTGTGTCTGTGTGAGAAGAGGCAGCCGGCGTCCAGGCTCCCGCACAGAGGTAGCCACTGAACGTGCGCTCCTCCTCCAAGTTTAAAATTGCAACAGTCTGGGAGTGGGGAGCCGAGAGCTGGGGGCCAGACGGGCTCCTAGGACACAGTGATTTCCTCGTCCTCTGCGCCCTCCTCATCCTCATCGGAATCAGAGAAGTCCGAGGGTTTCCCCGGGCTGCTGGAATGTGCAGGAGAGGCAGGCACGGGTCCTTCCAGCAGGTGTCGAGGGTCAGGAGGAGCATGGTAGGCCAGGCAGGGACCCGGACTGTCTTCTTCCTCGTCCCCAGGGACTTTCTGGCCCACGTCGCTAAGGTCTGGGTGAGGGTTTAGTTTTGTGGGAAGGGTCTGCTCTCGGCAGCCCCCGCTAGACAGGAGCTCGCGCTCCTTGGAGTTCCGCCACTTCATGCGTCGATTCTGGAACCAGATTTTCACCTGTGAGGGAAGAAGCGGCAAGCTAGTCAGTGTGTGCTCGCGTGCAGGGGGGTGGGGTGGGGTGGGGACAACCCTCAGGAATCAGGCTTGGGGAACACCGAAGAAGGGAGCTGTCTTATCTTCAAGGTTATTTCTGCGGGGTTCCTCCTACCAACCTTCGTTTCTCTCCTGCTCCATCCATCACCACGCATGCATTTATCCATGCATACACTCATCCATGCATGCACACCTATCCATGCATTATATCTATCCATGCATAAATCGATCCATGCATCCTCACTAGGCCTTGGTTTCCCCAGCTGCGTTGCCAGTCCAAGCCTCGGAGAGCTTTTACAATTGATTGGTACGGGTTAGGGTGCCGTGTGAGGGTGGGGCGGTGGAGGCCTCACGCACCTGCGAGTCCTTCAAGCCCAGCTTGGCGGCCAGCTTCTTCCGGTCAGGCTTACTGATATATTTCTGCTTCTGAAACGTCTTCTCTAAGGCTTTCCGCTGCACATCAGAGAACACAGCTCTGCGTAGCATGCCCCGGCGAGGCTTGCCGCGAGCGGCCAGCGGCCAGGAGAAGGTCCCTGGGATCGGCACCACACTGGAGGACGCTGCGGGGAGGTGGAGGCGGGGAGTGAGCCCAGAGTCTTACCGAGTCGGGCGGAGCCTCTGCCTCTCGGAGGCTGTTCTCCCTGGCTTTCTCCCTCCCTTTCTCTCGGGTCCCTTCATCTCTCTAAAGCACTCCTTTTTCTCCCGGTAGAGAATAGACCGAGAACCTACAGAACCTGCCTGAGTGAAAGGCGCTTTCCGCACAAATAACTTTCCCTTCAACCGTGCAAACCCGGATTAGGAAAAAAAAAACAAGAAAACAGGCTCAATCGCCTGTTGCTCCCTCCACCCCCACCATCCAATGGACTCAGAGAAACAAGCCGCACCAACCAGCTTATATAGCAACAGAATAAAGTAAATTACAAAAATAAAAATAAATAATCCCGCAGAGACCACTCAGCGCACACCCGCGGTCCCTCTAAGATCCAAGGCCTCGCAATCACCTTGGTGATGTTTGTACCTTTTAAAACAAGGTACCTTGTTGATTTGGCGTACAGGGGAAAATCCGCTTTGACTTTTAAAAAAAATCCAGTCATTCATCTTTTTTTAATATGATTTTTCTGCCTCCCCCCACAACGGTAAAGAAATCGGCCTGAATACAAGGAAAGTGGCGTCTAATTAGCACATTGACCGCTTCCCACTGGGAATTGGTGCCATAAAAAGGGGGAGAGTTTCGCTTTAAGGGAAAGAAAAAGAAAAACAAAAAGAAACAGAGACGCTAACGAAGCGTGAATGGTAATTGTGTAGTAATGAACTAACCGCAAAAGGCTACGGGCAAGCAGCGAGAGCCATATATTACCGGGACAAAAGAGATTTACACTCTAGCTAAACACAACTGCAGGCCGAGACCATTGGGAGAGAGCAGCGATGGCGGAGGCTTCTCTTCCCCCGATCTTTCACATTAAATGGACACGAAAAGCTATTTATAAAGCTCGGGTTGTTTTTGTTAGACCATTGAGACGCGGGAGAAAGGAGCAAATTCCATTGTGGGCAAAAGCCTGAATGGTGGGGATGGGGAAGTTTCTTCTCCCCCTTTAAAAAAAAAAGTCGCTAGTTTCTTTGGCAGTTGTTGGAAGTGCTGTCCTGGCCCTGCCCAGCCCCCACCCACCATCATCTAGGGCTCCCCAGCTTCCTGCGTTTTTAAACAGCTGTTTGAAACAGTGTTCCAGCCGGCGTTTGAACACTGGAAAGACCCCAAGGATGAAAACTTTTGAGGGTGCTTCGCCTGTAGACCAGGACCCAGTGCTGGATTCTGACCAACTGTTTCTTACTTCTTTCTCAAAAAGAGCCAGTGGGCAAGATGTGGGGTCCGGGAAAGCAGGTTGGCAAGAGAAGGTTGGGGTTGCAGGAGGATCTAGGCTTCCTAGCCCCTGGGCGCAACCAGGCATCCCACACAAGAGGGCACCCCATGCAGTCTGGTGGAGGAAAAAAAAACCTAGCCCTGAATGAGTGTTAAAGAGAAATTAGCCGCGGCTGGTAGGTGTTTCTCGGCGGCGTGGAGGGGCGAGGGCCGGTCTGCGTGTGGCTGCCTGGAGGAGCTGGCCAATTGGTCACGGTGCTGAGACCTTTGTGGCGAGTGGTGGCCGAGCGCACCGACTCTGTGGGAAACGGCGGCGTGAAGGGATGCCAACAGCTCCTCGCCGGGAAGGGGACCGCCTCAAATGCGGACCATGACAATTCTTGCTAATTTGTAGAGCAGGGAATTGGTGCGTAGTGTCAAGCAGTCACTGCTTGTGCTAAATGGGGTATCAAATTGGCGCGACGGATTCGTGAATGTTGTACGCCTCGCAACCTCTGAACCAGAGCGTAACCCCGAGGGGTGGACGGAGAAATACGACTTGGGGCCAGCAGAGAGTGACGGGTCCCGAACTGGGGTGGGCTGCCCCTCCTGGAGCAAGGAGCGCCAGAGACCTACCTGGGAAATAGGAGGATCTAATGAAGGGTTGGAAGGAGCCTTCGAAGTAAGGAAAGGCGAACGTCTTGGGAGGGGGACTCTGCAGCAAAGCCGGCGACGTTTCTAGTAGGGAGGCATAGGGAGAATTTGGTCATGTGCCTGATCACATATGCGATCTAACTAACACTGCAGTAGGTTTCAAGGGGGCACCTTTTAAAACGTATTCACCTAGTAAGATGAATTTGTGCAGCACTGTCTCATTTGGGAAAAATCCCTTACACACACACACACACACACACACACACACACACACACACACACACTCCGCGCACCTCTCCAAGCCAGAGACTTAGGCAATTATGACGGGGGGGGGGGTAGAAAGAAACGGGGTTGGGACGCTGCAGATGCATCCATAATATAAACCAACACAATGCACGTGTTCAAAACGTGTTGCGTTTAAAAGCAAAATGTCTCCTAGCCGTTGAGGGCGGGAACGCAGACGCCAAAAGCGCTTGCGCTCTGAGAGGCCAGACAGGCTCAGCGGTCCCGAGGCTCAAGTTCATTCGAAGGATACCACAAGGCTTGAGGCTTTTCCTCCTCCAAAATCCTCAGTACCTGAATTTCATACATAACCCGTGGCCTGGCCCCTGGGCTCTGAGTCCCTGCGTGGACCTGTGCACTCACAGGCGCACAGGAACTCGTTTGCGAAGGACGCGCGTCGAGGGCTCGGCTGTTACTCACCTCTTCTGGGCGCCGATGCGAGGATGGCATTCACCCCAAACTTGAGAAACGTGGGCTCGCTGGCGGGGGAGAGGGCGTTCTGTGGAGAGCTGCCACGCCGGCTCCCGGACCCCGGAGAGCCGAGGTCCGAGGTCCCAGAGTCGGCGAGGACTGTGGGGGCCTCCTGCCTGGGGGGTGACAAGCTGGCGGGGGGTACGCTGCGGGGCAGGTAGGCGGGCGGCCGGCTGATGCGGATCAAATCTTCCACCAGGAAACTAGAGTGACCGGAAAATGCGGACTGAAGGGACTGGGGCAGTGTTAAGGTGGGCGTGGGTCGCAGGAGGCTGGGATACCCCGCGGGGGGCGCGAGGAGGCCGGGGAACATCATGGTCAGAGCGGGGCGGGTGCAGTGGCCCCTCGTCCCGTGGCCGGAGGGCAAACGCCTGCCTTCCCGCCCCTCCCGCGGTGCCCTCTTCGGATCAGGGTCCTGGTAGCCGTCCTACTTGGGCGTCTGCGAGTCCTCTGTGGCTCTCCGGCCCAGGAGATGGTTTTATAGTGGCCCGCCCGCTCCAGCGCTTTAAAAACTGACAGCTCTGACAATGAAGTTCAACAAAGTTCTCCACTCTGGCTTCATTCGCGGGAGGCACCGGGCTCTCTGATTGGTGCGGAGACGCAATTTATGATTGGATTAGTCTTCATAAGCATGGCTCGCACAATGGGGCGGCAACAAAGGCCGGCGCGCATCAACCCCGCGCATCGACGGCCTCTCTGCTATACAGTGAGCCCCCAAAGCTCTCGCTGGGGGTTTTTGTTCTGAAGCAACACCCGGGCTAATTAAATGCCTATTTAGAAGTTTCAGATGACATCTTGCCTCATAGAAAAGGAATTATTTAAAGAACGCACTAAATTTATTTGCGCCCCCCCTGCTGAGCCTAGAAAATAAATCAATAAATATTCATAGAAGTACATCTCCAGGCTATCGGTAAAATAACTCTCCCTTGTGTGTGAGGGGCCGTGTGGAAAATTTCAAGCCCTTAAGCATGAAAACATACTAGTCTCTGGTCTCCAGCTAGTTCTCACTCAATGGGAAACGCAGAGCAGATGGGTTAGAAGTCCCTCTCTCACATTCAGGGAGACTTGGAAGTAGAAGCGGTTTGGAGAGATTTGAGGGGAGTTGGTATTGGCGTTGTTTTGGTTTTCTTTTTCTTTTCTTTCTTTCTTTTCTTTTTTTCCAGAGAATGGTTGAATTCCAGAGTTTCTGGACACAGAAGCAATAAAACCATCCACCTTCAACTCCCAACAACCTGGAATTTGGGGGGGAGGTCGGAAAACGAGAGAGACAGAGACAGAGAGACACACACAAAGAGAGAAAGTATGTATTTAAGAGAACTTCATTGGGACTGGCCCACAGTACAGGGACGTTCCTTGGAGGAGGAGCCTCGGAGAGCCCTGGACCCAAGTTGGACAGGGGATTCCGCCTGGGAAGGGCTCACACTCTTGAAAGCACTCTTTCTTCGGGTAGGTCAATCCTGGCAGGGTCGCCATTTTCCAACCCTTAGGAGAGCTCACCACTCTTTGTTTAAGCCAGGGCCCCTGAAAGTCTGGACCGATCTCCAGGTATTGCGAGGCCCTTGACTCTTGAACATTTGTGCCGCCTTCGGATTCACTGAGTTGGATTCACTATATGGAAGAACTAGGTTCACACCGGGAAAAACCTCTCCTAAGCATAGTCTTTCCAACCAGACCCCTGGAGAGTCTCCCTTGACTTTCATGGGCCAAGGTTGAGGTGGCTGTGAGCCTCCACTGCCTGGTTTCTGGCTCGGCGAGATGACAGATGTGTTAAATGTCCCATTCATTTCTTTAGTGCGAGTGAACCCTCCCCCCAAGAGAAGTGTGCAGCCCTGCCTGGCCGCCCTGATCCTATTAGCCATGAACTAACTGCCACTTTCGGCTGGTTTTCCTTTTCGCTTTCTAACACAAAGCTTTCTCAAAAATCTTATTAACCAGCTTTATTTCTCTGGATGGTTTTGTTCAGGGCGTTTTGTGTTGATGATCGCCATGTCGCTGCTTTAACCATTCATGAATGTGCATCTGCAATTTATATCACATTAAACCAGAAACGGAGCGCACTAAAGCTCTCCCTTGATTCCAATTAAAAAGTTGTTTAGGGCCGAACTCTGGGTGAATTCATGCCCGAGGACGGTGAAACTGCAGAGTTTCTGAACCCAGGACTGTTCCCGAATCAGGAGGAACAGCTACCCAGAAAGGATCAGCTCAAGTAAGCAGCACTTAAGCTCAGACTTGGCGCTTCAGGGTCCTGTACAGGCAAGGGGCAGATCTGTTGAGGGATTCTGAAAGTTCCTTTTTTTTTTTTTTTTAAATTTTCCATCAAAATAGGCTGATTCCTCCTCCTCTTCTCCTCCTTTCCCCCCTTTCTTCATTCCCAGTTTCCCTTTCCCCCTTGCCTCCTTTCTCTCGTCCCTGCTACCACCCTTCTCCTGGGGGCTCATTTCCATCCCCTCCATTCCCCTCATCAGAGACCAGGAGCAGCTCGGAAGTTCTGAAGACCCTTGTGACTACAGGTGCTGGCGGTCCTAAGGCCTCTCCTCCTCTTCGGATGACGGGAGTTCAGCCTCAGTTATGATAAAATTTGAGAGGGTCCTTGGGTGGGGGGACCATGGCGGATTCCACAGCAGGGGAGGGTGACCAAGGCGGGTACAAGCAGGCCAGGCAGACATAGTTTAAGTGAGAAGTTTTATTAGAAAGGGGAGGGAGGGGGGAAGGAAAGAGAACAGAGGTAAAGAGACACAGAGGGAGGACTGGGAGAAGAGAGAGACAGGAAAAGTCCTCTCGGCCCCAGGGGAACGCGGAAAGAGAAAGCAGAGAGAGGGAAGAGAGAGTAAGTGGGCGGGGGGGGGACCTGTCTTTTAACGGGGTCCTTTGCACCTGCGTGCAGACTACACAATCCTGGAACTCTGGGCTGACCAGGGTACTGCCTGAGTGCATTCTGCCAGGTGACAGGGGCAGGCCAGCGTAATGCCTGAATCCTTACAGCCTCTACCAGCAGAAATTCTAAGGTTGCTGCGGCGGGAGGGTGGGAGAGAGGACAGGAGAGTAGGTCTTTCCGAGCGGCTTTCCAAGGTTATTTCCTCTGAGGTGAGGTTTTCACAACCCTGGCAGGCTCCTAACTCCCCTCCACATCCCCCAAGGAGTTTTGCTTATCCCAAATGTAGCTAAAGCTCTACCTTTCACGAGGCCACGCTGACTCACTACAAGGTAAGTACACCCTGATCCACATAGACCCCCAAGAGTTCCCCTGCTGACAAAAAGAAAAACAGGATGGAGGGGAGGCTGGCCGCTGTTGAAAGAGCAAAATTAAATCCTAAGGGAGCAAGAAATTGCAGCAGCAACATATCTTACTTTAAGGTGATTTCTTACTTTTAGGCGCATGGCAGCCGCGCCTAAGTCCTGTGACTAATGCCATTTGACCTGACTGTAAAGTCGTTATCTTCAAGTTTATTTCGGAGAAATCACTCCCGTTCTTTATTCTGACTTGAGATTTCTCTACCTGTTTCTCTTTCCAGGGAAAGAAGGTGCACACCTTTGGTCCTGGCACTGGGGTAAAGGCAGGGGGATCTCTGTGAGTTCGAGACCAGCCTACTCTACATAGTGAGTTCCCGGCTCGCCAAGGCTTCATAGTGAGACACTGTCTCAAAAAAGCGAAACAAAAGAAAGGAGATGGGGGGGGGAAGAGTGGGAGCTCTGGTCCCGTCTCTGTTTGCAATGACAGGCTGCTGCAGACACAGCCCCAGCTCCCGGCCTGAGAAGTTCGAGGCTGTCAGAGAAGGGCTTTAGGATCTGTCCCCCAGGGTCTCTTTCTGTTAAGCAAATGCCTTTGCAACCTCCTGACTCTCCACAGACAGACGGAGGACTCCGACCTGGGGGAAGCTTGGGCCACAAGCTGCGATCTCCATAGGTGTTGGTCCAGGGCTCGGAAATAGAAAGTGCTCTAGGTGAGACACGCAGTTCTCTGGGTGACAGGAACTTGCACAGGCAACCAGGCTTCTCTGGTGTGTGTGTGTCGGTGGCGGGAGGGGGGACCCGCAGGACGGGGGTGGGGGAGTGCTGACTGGACTAGCTATGGAAGAGTGCTCCAGGCGCGGGCCAGAAAGCTTTCGTACAGCCCCAGCCTCTATTAAGACAACTCTAAGAGGCTCACCTTTAGAATAGGCTACAAGGAGCTACTGGCGGGCCCAGCCGTTTTTACACCCCCCCCCATTCACCCTCACTCCCCTCTTTTTCCTGGAAAATCCTTCTATTGTGCCAATCAAGCAGATGGTTTCTAGAAAATATAGCTTGGCCTCGCTGACCGAAACTAATTTTAACTAGCTTTCCAGGCCTGCAACGTTTGTTTTGCTCTTACAAAATAGCTCCAAAAACAGCTGGCAAGGGTGAATTAAACCCATTAAAGACACGTTTATAAGAAATTATATTCACATAGATTGCCCGAACCCCCTTGTGCAGCCTAAGAGAAGGGAAGAGTGTTATTTAAATGAAAATGTTGCCAAAGGCTCCCGTCCTTCTCGTGGCCTGAAAGTCTCAAAACATTTTACTAAATAGATTAACTTGACCATTGTCTCCCATCGCATTGATCAGCTTCATTAAGTGAATAGCTGGACAAATATATTACGCATGCATGAAAAGCTCTTTTTTCAAGGCCCTTATTGTATCCTCAGCCCTGACAGGTGGTTAACTGTGTGTTGTGTTTTTTTGTGAGTTTTTTGTGTTTTCTTTTTAATTTTTTTTAATTCAAAGAAAAAGGCTCTCTGTAGGGCAGCGCAGTGAGGTGGTGCTGGCTGGGTAGTCCCCCTGGGCCCTGCCCCTGCAGGGCTGGAAAGCCTCAGAGTGCCGGGCAGTGCATCAGAGTCCATTCCAAGTCATCAGAATTAAATCTTGGTGCGTGGAGGCTTCAGACTCGGAAGAACTTAACTCTGAGAATTAAGCTCGGAGTGTTTCTAACACACACTCTCTCTAGTCTTGAAGATAAACTCCTTTCTCTTTTCCTTGCCTACCCAATTCTAGTCTTTATATTTTAAAAAAAAAAGGTGTGTGTGTGTGTGTGTGTGTGTGTGTGTGTGTGTGCACCCATATATGGAAACCAGAGGACAACTGACAGGATTTGGTTCCCTCCTTCTATCAAGTAGGTCCTGGGAATTGAACCCGGATTATCTAGCTTGGCAGCAAGCACCTTTACATCCCCACCCTCACCCCCAGCTGCCAGCCCAGCTCCAGTCTTTTAACTCATGTTTGCATCCAATTCACTTTATGGTGGTGCATCTTTAAGCAAAGTGCTCCTCTCCCGGGCCTCAGAGGGATTGTGGGTAAAATGAATGGACGTTGCT